TAAAAAAACACAAAGCAAATTACTGCGCCAGCGATAGAGGCCGAAGTTGGCAAATTTCCAAAAATAGCTTAATAAAGGGGAAAAAAATTCTCCCCTTTTTATCCAGTAACTGTTTGTGTTGGAGATTAACGAAGAATTACGTGCGCTTTCTCCTTCCGCGGTACGCTAGAAAAAAAAATATTTAAAACAATTCTGTAAGAAAAAAATTTTGCAGAACCATTATTGCTTCTGCAGAAATTTTTTGTTTCTGAAGAAAATGATTTTTTTTGTTGGTAAAACAGCTTCTGTTTCTGCAGAATTTTTTTTGAGAACTTTCGTTTGTGGCAAACCAAAAATTTTTATTTCCCAAATAAAAAAAATCTTTCTGCAAGAACTCAGTCGCTTTCTGCGACAATGTCGCTGTGTCGCCGTGTTTCTGCCACGGGGCTCGAAAACAAATGGTGCAAGAAATTTGGACCTCATCGTTTCTGTTAGTTCTACCTGTGAGTCAAAAATATACAAGACAAAAACCTGATAATTTGACCATTGGTTGATTTGGTGTGAAATTAAACATGTACTAAATTATGAATATGATCCATCCAGAGGAAACTCACTGAATAAAACATAAAGCAAGACTTAAATAAAATGAAAAACTTTCTGCGAACACAAAATCTCAATTAAAATTTTTTGCCAGCAATTTAACGCTTATAACTAGCTTGAAACCTTTCCCCATTTTGAAAAAATTTGTTGGAAAATCACAATTTATTTTTTTAAATGTTTTAATATTTATAAAACTCTATATTGATTCATATCACCAGAATAAGTTTGGAAATAAACAAAAAAAGCTGGAAATAAAAATTCAAAAATATTATCCGCAAAAACACATAAAAATTTAAAAAAATAAATAAATAAAATAAAACCCTGAAATTTGCATATTAATATTGCTTACCCTAAAACTTACATATATTAATTTTCCTATAAATTGCGTGTAAAAAATTAAATATTAATGAAAAAGTTTCTAATAAATTTTCTTACCTCCGTATCCTTATCTTTCTCATCTTCAGAAGAAAATGTTAGGGAACTTGACGAATCAATTACGGGCTTGGGTTTTTTATTACTCGCAGCTATGTTTAATAAAAAAATTTCATGAATAAAATTCTTAATAAAACTTTTACATATTTTAAAAATATAGCATATACTTCATTTCAATGATACATGCAAAATAAAATAGTTTTATATATTTAAAAAAAATCATAAATAGAGTTAACCACTTTATATTTACACACAATATAAACTTGTATTTTAAAAAATTTTTATATTTACATAAATTCAGGGTTCCCACTCAATTTGCAAAAAAAAAAAAAAATTCCCTGACTTTTCTAGGTAAATTTCAATGAAAATTGAGACTATATTTTCATCAGAAAATTTTGATTCTTTTATTTGTAATGTGAAAAATTAGATTTTCTATGTAAAAAAATATTAAATGAGGATGGGAACATTTGATAAAAATGTGAAATTTTTACAACAAATAATTGTAATAGATGTAAGAATTATTTAACTCGAATCTTTCAATTATAAGACTGGTTGTTTTCCAAGCATAATATAGGAATATTCCAGGTTTTTGTAAAAAAATTGCAGCTTTCCCTGACTTTCGCTGATTTTTGCAATTTAAAATTGTTAAAAATGGGCAAAAATTGGTACTAAATATATTTGAAAAATTACGTCAAAACAATAAAAATCATGCAAAACCATATAGTGATCGGATAATGGTATGTACATAATACCTTAATAGTATGTATGTTACCTCAAAAGTGCAGAAATAAGTTAAATTACAAATTATCTAGCTAATGAGCAGATTAACTAGGATAATCTGTTAAGTTAAAGTGCAAAAAATTATTTCCATTCTCAAATTATCTAAGTAATCTAAAAACTACCTACTTACTAGGGATAGTACCTACTATTGCACATCCCTATTAGTAACAGGGTTCGTGATTTTTTTGATTTTTTAAAAAAAAACAAAAAAATCGGATTATTATGATTTAAATCGGATTTTTTTTATTTAAATCAGATTTTTTTGATTTTTATTCAAATACACTATAAGATCTTTAATTTATGATTAAAAAAACTTTATAAATGTTTAATCAAAATTAAATTAATATTAAAACTATATTATAACAATATTTTAGAAGCTCTAACTTACTAAAATAATTTTTCATTATAATGCATAGCGACCATTTTGATACAAAGGCATGATTGAAATTAAAAGACAAGATAAAATAGATAATTTAAAGAATACTACTTTAACTAGTAACACAAAGTTTCAATTAGCACACCATAATTTTAATTTAAAATTGTGATCTCTTTTTTTTTTCCTCATGATTTATAAAATGGCAAAATAAATGCAACAGATTGTGTTTATAAATGTTGTCATTCATCAAAAAATAAATATTCAATCTATAAATTTTTATGTTAAAATATTCATTTTTAATCCTATATCAAAATACATAAGTTAAGCTAAAAAACATTTTAAAAAAATCTATGTACTCATTGGAATTTTTTTCACAAAAGAAAATCTGATAATTTCAAAGATACCGTAAACATATTATAAGAAGAAAAAAAAATACCAGTTAATAAACCCTACTGCTTCAAATAGACTTTGAAAGGGAAGAATGACACTATATCAGGAAAAAATATCTGAACTCAGCTTCTTTTTTTTTCTTTCTATTTTTGGCATATTAAGGTAATTTCTTTTTAATATAACCTCAAGCTTTAGAAACATAGAAATTTCCATCAATAAACTATAATGTAGATTTGAATTCCATGCTTTTTTAATCAAAAGGTAGAATTTTAACTAACATTTGCTTTTTTTCTTTTTGAAAAAAAATCATGTTTATTTACTTTCTACAGTTACGCAAGTCTATATTAAGACAGCATTAAATATTTACTTTAATCTGTACTTTCAATGTTAAGAATCAAAAAAATATGTAATTTTAAATGTGTTTAACACACACCAAGAAAGAAAGTAATTTCGTTTACTAAAATTAATTAATGCAGCAATTAATTTAAAATAAATTTTAAAACTAAGAAAAGAAAAGAAAAAAATCAATAATTTAAAGCACTGTTTTTTAACTTTTAAAATCAATATAATATATATATATAAAAATCAGTTGATTTAAATCAATGATTTTTTTAAAAAAATCATTTGATTTTAATCATGATTTAAATCGTGATTTAAATCAAGCTGATTTAAATCAACGAACCCTGATTAGTAAGTTATTAAAATGAAAATAAGACTTTTGTTGGAACAACTTTTCTGTAAACTTAAGGTAACATTATGAAATTTATTTTTCGCCATTTAAAAAAATAAATAAAACTACAACTAAACAATCAACAAATTGATACAAACAATAACTTTAAAAACTATATTAACAAGAATCAAAATATTTAAAATTTTATTACAATTAAAGAAATTGTCATAATCTCATTTACTTATTTTTTGATATCTAAAGAATCAAGTTAAAGCAATCAACAAATTAGTTGATAGAATGGGAGAAACAAACTTTTGAACTTAATCGATGTGGTATGTACATAACCAAGTTAAATGCGGAAAAACCTTGATTCCATACCTAATTAGAAAAAATAAGTTAACCTGCACATTTCCTAACTAGGAAATATGCACATTAACAGTTTTCAAGCAGAATCAGCAATATATAAGTAAAAAATAGTTAAAAGAAATAAATCAAAAATTTATATATTAGAGCAAAAGCAAGTGTAATACAAAAAGGCATAAAAATATGAATTTAAAAAAGAAAACACCAGTAGAAAGTTTTTTTTTTTCTCATTTAATTTCAGAAAAAAATACTCAGACTTTTCCAGGCATTTCAGGAAAATTTCAATGTAAATTCTGCAGGTTTTTAACTACACCATATAATTTTTCAACTGACAATTTTATTTTATTTTACTTATTATGTCACATATTAGATTTTGAGAGCTAAAAATACTGAATAAGGAATGAAACATGAAAAAATTTCACTTAAATGTGGAATGTTTTCAGCAAATAATTGTAACAGATGTTAGAATCATTTAAATTGACTCTCAATAACTGATTACTGTTATACTGACAATTCTATGATTGCCTATTTTCCAGGTATGATACAGGAATTTTCCATGTTTTTGAACTTTTCCTGAACATTCCCTACTTTTAAGAGTCAAAATAAAATTCCCAAACAATGCCAGATTTTTCCTGTACTTTCTGACCTGTGGAATTTAAAAGCTAGTATTATTGATATAATAATTAAAAAATTTCTTTCTTCAGATTAATTATTTTCAAAATGATTTTAATAGTTCATTCAAAATGGTAAACATAATACAAAATATAGTTAGTAACATGTTGACAATTGTTATTGAGCTTTATTTATAAAATCAGAGTTTCCTAAAAAGAACAGTGATCATTTAGGGTCCTATAGTAGAAAAAGATTGGCAGTCACTGATCATAAGCAGTAAAAATTAATGTTTTTATTGTTATTTTTTAATGCTTATGACAATATCTAAACAAGAAATTATATTAGTTCCCAAATTGTAGAGCCAGGCGTAAGAACAAAAAAAGTTCATATTCCCAAATTGTGGAAAGGAGATAATGAAATGAAAAAAATTACATATGTTAATTATGTTTCATACATCACACAAGAGAAGACTGGATACATTTATGCCTGGTTCTTGCATTAATGGAAGGTCTATATTGTCCACAGTTCAAAATAATATATATATACTAAATATATATTGAAAAATTTGGACTCAATCTCGTTCTTGCACCTGTGCCTAAATTGTTTTGGCTATGGAACCCTAAATGATCCTCTTTTTAGCAGAACCCCATAAAGTTAAGCAATACCGAAATCTTTTTTTCAAAAAATTAGGTTTTACGACAAACAGCAGGTATGCAGCGACATCTAGTCTAGTTCTGGATTAGATATTGGAGCTAGTATAAGCTCAAAATGAATAAAATAAGCAAAACTGATTTCGTTTTGTTGATGTAAAAACGCTACCAATGGAGGAAAAATATTTCTTTTTGTTAGATTTACTTACTTTATTTAAAATTGAAATGTTCACACAATTTTCTATAAATGCATGTCATTTTCACAACTTATTAAATACATTAGAATTTTTTTAATTTTAATACTTCTTTTTTCATTGGAATTTTACTTTCCTTTCATGAAAATAATCAAAATATTAAATTAATTTTTGAACTATTTATTTGACATAAATGTAATTAAAGGTTTCAAAACACATTAATAGTTATAAAAAAAAAGTGTTAAAGTGTTGGAGGCAAGGTGACTTTTTCATGGAACCTTGAAGTTCCACGGAACATCTTTTGGGAGCTTGTTTAAGTCAAATAATATTAACAATTAATATATTATATAAAAAGCCCACTCGACTTAAAAGGGTAAAATAATGTATCAACATACCTTTTTTAACCTCTGTTTTTACATTCTCACTCTTCTTAGATTTTTTTGGCTCTTTCAACAAATTATTCACAGTTTTTTCAATTTCGTCTAGCATGTAAATAGGTGGCACTTTAATAGTCGTCTTTCCTTCCAAAAGATCATCACACGGTTCCAGGACAACGTTTGGGAGAACTCTAAGTTTCATATCATTATGATAATCAAAATCTGGGAGCTTTTCTTTATAACGCTTTTTAACATTTTGTTTTCTGGGTCCTTTTTTAGACTGAACTTCCTGAAAATCTAATCCTGATAAAGGATCACTTGACTCAGAGCTTAAGGAACTAACAGACGATTCCTTTATTGCACAATTCTTTGATGAAGCTGTATGAGATTTATCTACAGAGGGGTTTGAAGACTTAGTTTTGGAATTTGTCTCAGAATGAACCTCCGCAGTGACAGTAATATTATGCTTTTGTGAATTAGAATTCGCTTTCTTAGAACTAAAGTTAAAATCCATTTCATTCTCATCCGAAGAATCTTCCAAAAGTTTAAGCTTAGCTTTAATTTCTTCGTCACTTTCTAAAGCATCACCACCTGGAGTTTCTTGGGCAAGTGGGCACACTTGTGGATCAAGTTTACTATCACAAACTTTACTACTAATCAGTGATTCACTGTGCCCACTCAGAAGAGAATCATCACCATTTAATTTTACCTCAACTTCAACCTCAGATTCAACTTTAGAGTTAACTTTAACCTCAGCTTTAACAACTTCATCATCAGATGCAAGAGAAATCAGAGGTGGTGTTTCATCACCATTTTTTATTCCATTTTCACCATTTTTTTTAATTTGTTCAGTGTCTTCAGATTGTTTCACTTTTAAATAAGAAGCATATTGCTGACACAAAGTTTTCATAACATGACTTAATTCACTTTTATGTGTGCTTACCACTTCTTCCGTTTTTTTAATTATATGTTTCAGACTCTTGGACCGTGAGACTTCAACATGTTTCAACTTGTCCATTTTCTTTAGAAGACTTTTACAAGAATTCTCAGTTTTAGTAAATGCCTCTAAAACCCACGATTCAGAAATAAGTTCTTTAGCTCCAACTTTGTCTTTTTCTGTCTTCTTATCCTTAAAACTCTTTGCTTTGCTGTACTCCATTATTAAATTGCAATAAGCTACTTTAGCTTTCAGCTTACTTGGATCACACACATAGCACTTCCAGCCATCCTTCTGCATTTCAGTGACTTCGGAACGGCCAAAATTACGACGCACACAATTCAAACAGAACACATTAGGGCAAAAGTCACATAAAAAAAGTGTACCACCATTACCACACCAAGTACAATAATTGTAGTTGCCAGCTTCATCACGAGTAAACTCATCTGTTCCATAAAACTCACAACAATCCTGAAAGGGAATGAAGTTTGATTAATAAATTATTTAGGTCAATACGAATTTATTAGCTCCGTGGCAGAATTTCTTCGAGTTATCTGAGAGAAAACTCTTTAGCACTAATATATTTCTGCAAGATACTTTTAATACCAACAAACATATATGTTACTAATTTAAAACAGGGTTAGGTTTTTGACGTCAAAAAGTGGTTTTTGACATGACAAGGGTATAATACTGGTTTAAACCGTCAAAAATCCNATAACAAAAGCGTTGTTTACAATAAAATACATAATTATTTTTTAAATTTAACATGTAATATTTTTTTAAATTCTAATATTATGGGTGATATTCTGGCATTTTTATTGGGTGGGGAGGAGAAGCAAAAATTATTTCCTTCACATTTTGTAAATAATCATCACAATAAAAAAAATTAAAAATCATGAAATCCATAGTAGAAATTTCCGAAAAAAAGATCGCCAACAAAATTTGCCGAAAATTTGTCCATACATCTGCCTGGGTAGGCCTTTGTTTAGGGGTGAAAAAGTGAGATAAAAGAAGCAAACAAGAAAAAATTCTTATCGCTACATTCCACTTTATAGATGGTTTTAAAAATTAGCATAAGTATTTATTTTGAAGTAGATATTTCATTATTTAAAAAATTTATTTTTAAATTATTTTTTTTAAAAAATGAAGAAAAAAAATCGAAGACAGAAAAAAGTTCACAACATCCAATTTCCTCACTTTTTTAGTTCACTATATCAACAAAAAATAACATTATATGTGTATAGCAACGCACGGAACCGAACATTTCGTTCACTATGTAAGGGAGTTCACTATAAACTGTGTTCACTATAGCGTGGTTTGACTGTATATATTTTAACATGCAGGGAATTTTAGAGATTTTTATTGCCCCATCAAATCAAAATACAAAAACTTTTTTAAACTAATAAATATAAATAGTCTGTAATATTTTCCATTTACGATTGACATTAAATGAGCTTGAAATGTTTTTTATTATGCCACTTCATAAAATTTAATAGTAATTTCTAATTGATAGTTAAAAATACTTTTTAATTAATTTAAAAAGGAAGTTCTAAATGGAAAAAAACTGAAAACTTTAGAACAAAAAAAAAGAAAAGCTGTAAAATGATTACTATAATTGAGGCTCCCGTCATTATGTTAGCAATAAATTGTGTAAAAATTCTATTTCGATAGGGATTTTTTAAAAATTTTTTTAGGAAACTTACTCAATTTTAGAGAATTTTCTAAAATTTCCAAAAACCAGGAGAGTTTTTATTAAAGTTTTAATAAGACTGAAAAATAAAACTTACTGTACAAATGATAACATTTAATCGAATGTGACGTTTCATTTTTTTGTAATCTAGATGGTTTATTTGACTTTTACAGATTGTGCACCTAACCACCATACTTCTGATGTCCATGCCTAAAAAAAAATAATAATAACATAGAGCAATCCACAAATTAGACATACACATACAAATTTATGTATGTATAAACACATTTTTATTTTATTTGATTATTACAATTAAATTAATAATATGTGAATTTTCAATGAAATGTTTATGTTATGTTATGTTATGTTCTATGTTTTGCTTGGAACATTTAGGAAATGAGTGGATCTGTCTTGGCGGTGGTTGTTGACTTTCACCAGTGAATGTCAACAAACACCAAATACGTCGGTGAAAGATTGAATATTTCATTACATTCTTGTACATTCGAACACTCACCGGTGTATGTCGACAATCACAGATATGCTTTGGTGAATGTCCGAAATATTTATTACATTCGATTTGATATGAATTTATTTGTGGATATAATTACATTTATTCGATATTTTAACCCTACACTGCTGTTTTTTTTAAAGGTTAAGCGCCATTGCCCGGTATACCCTACACTGATGTTTCTTTAAGGTTAAGTGCCACTGCCCGGTATACCCTACATTGATGTTTTTTTAAGGTTAAGAGCCACTGCCCGGTATACCCTACACTGATGTTTTTTTAAGGTTAAGTGCCACTGCCCGGTATACCCTACACTGATGTTATTTTAAGGTCAAGTGCCATTGCCCGGTATACATTTGCTCGATACTTCAAACACTGATATTTCTTCTAATCTATCGTCAGTAAGTATTAAAATGTAGAATAAATATAAATATATCAAATAAATATAATAATATTAACGAATAAATTAATATAAAATTGGATATAACAAATATTTTGGACATTCACCAAGCGACTACATGAATGTTGACATTCATCAGACTTCGGTGTTTCACCGTAACATATTCACTAGTACTGTCATCAACCAAACAGTTCCAGTAGAAATTAGCTAATCTAGCAAGTTAAAAAGTGGAAAAAATTTGGGGGGAAATAATAAAGGTATGTTAATTCAGAAAAAAATATGTTTTTGTGTCTGATATCATCTGCACTAAGTCATTAACCATTAACATATTTGAAATCAAGGTTGGCAAGTTTCTGCCGAAGTGGTTAAAACGACTGGTAGAAACAGGTTAAAACTGGCATGGCAGAAACCCTTTTCTGCCACATTTGTGGCAGAAACTGGCAGAAATACAGAAAATGACATAAAAGTAAGTACTGAGATTGACATACAATGGATAATTCATAGAAAAAACAATTAAATGTTAAACAAAGTACAATTTATTTAAAAAATTATCAACATTCAAAATCAAATATTACATTGTTTGCACTCTGCAGTAATCTATAACAAAAGACAAGTTTTGATGCAGTTTCTAAACCTAAACAATTTTTCAATTCGCCTATGCACGAACGACAAATTTGAGAAGATTCTCTCAAGTCCAGCAGAACTAGCAAGCATTGCCATCAAGGAACAAGCAAGATTTGTGAAACTTTCATCTATTGCATATTTTTTAAAACTGGACCACCATGTAGCAGCTGAGGTAGTTGTCAAAACTTGACAGGAAAAATAAGTTTCAGGAAATGGGTCCAATATGTTTTATAAAAATATTTGATATACTGCACTCTTTATAATTAATATAAACAAAATAATATATATTTACAAACAATGAATTAAAAACAATGAATTAAAAAGTTTGTTACAGTTATATGGAGTTACATTTTTCAGTTTACTTAAACAAAATGTTATTAAGCAATTACTAGAACTAATAGACGTGTTTTCAGTTTCTGCCAGTTTTTACCGATTATAACCAGTTTCTGCCGGCAAAAAGCCAACCCTGTCTGAGATTACCCTCTCGAACCATTAAGATTGAGTCCTAGAACATGAAGATCTAATCATTTGATCAAAAGGGTGATGCGCTTATTTTTTTGTGCATTTTACATTAGGTTTCTTGTGTGTTTATTGCCATGATTTTTTATTATCATTCTTAGTTAAAGCTAAAAAACTAAGAAAAGAAAGAAAAAAAAAGACTAACAGCTGACGTGACTAAGTACTATTAAGAATGAGGGATTTATCGTAATATGTAATTCGTTAGACATTGTCACATAGCGATGCATTAAAAATAACGTAAGTTCAAATATTGCTTATTTGTTTTTTTTTTTTTTTTTTAAAATAAAAACAACACAAAAATCTTAAATAAATAAAATAAATAAATCTAAATGTAAATGTTCTAAAAGACAAAAGAAAAAGTGAAATTTGAAGATTAAACTAGTTTTGTAATGCTGATTTTTTTTCTTTTTTTTTAAATCAGCAATTTTGTTAAACACTTTTTAGTTTCAAATCTTTTTTTTGTAGTTTTCCTAATAGTGCAAGATTTTAACAGAGCGTTTCTGATAGATTTCATTCTTTCATTGTCACTTTTTCTTGTACAGTAAGATAGATAACCGGTTTAACAAGTAAGACCGATAACATAAAAAACTGCTTTTATTCGGCCACCGAATACTCTATAATTCGTTTTGGCCGAATATTCAGTATTTTGCCAAATCACTATTCATTACATCTCTAATTTAAATCTATTTAACTAGATTTATAATTTTGAAGCAGCATAAATTCTATTATGGTATCTAACCCATTTTTTAATTTTAAAAACTTTAGTATTTCTTATCATATCAAGTAAAAAATTTCATACTCTTACTTATATATGAACATACAGTCATAAAAGAATTTAATGCAGCATTTCATTGATATCTAGATAGCTTTGATCTCTAATTTAAATCTATTCAACTAGATTTATAATTTTGAAGCGGTATAAATTCTATTATGGTATTTAACCCATTTTTTAATTTTAAAAACTTTAGTATTTCTTAACATCATATCAAGTAAAAAATTTCATACTTTTACTTATATATGAACATACAGTCATAAAAGAATTTAATGCAGCATTTCATTGATATCTAGATAGCTTTGATCTCTAATTTAAATCTATTCAACTAGATTTATAATTTTGAAGCGGTATAAATTCTATTATGGTATTTAACCCATTTTTTAATTTTAAAAACTTTAGTATTTCTTAACATCATATCAAGTAAAAAATTTCATACTTTTACTTATATATGAACATACAGTCATAAAAGAATTTAATGCAGCATTTCATTGATATCTAGATAGCTTTGAAAAAATTAATTTAAATTTTTTATGAAAAAAAAATAAATAAATAAAAAACACACACAGACAAATATCATTTAAAATTATTTAAATTATATCAAATTACCTGTAATTTGAGATTTTGTAATTAGCTCAGCTCCAGTTAATCCTGGCACTTCAATTAAAGGATCATTCTTAAAATCTATAAGTTGAACAACATTCAGTTAAAAAACATGTTTAAAAATAAATTTAGGTATACATAAAAATACTATGTGAATAAAAAAAAGAAAAATGCGAAAATTAGAAGGTATGAAAATTCATTTTATTTATGGGCATCAGAAATTTCAACAAACAACTTAAACAATTTAATTAAAACCAACAAATTTTGATTTTTTTCTTTTAATTTTTAGCAATGTTCAAATTTTATATTAAAAAAAAATCACTCTAGCAGGTTTTTATACAGGGTAGAAAAGCTTTTGACTATTGACAGTTTTAACAATGGTTTTATCTATCAGGTCAAAAACTCATAATTTTGGTGTAAGGATAATTATAAGCTATTATACAGAAGAAGTATTTATAAATAAACATAAAATTACAAGTGATCAATTGTGTTCTTGAAATATTTCTACTTTAAACTCTATTTTGTTTCGACAATAACTGTCAAATACCTGAATACAAGTGTAGAAAAAATTTTAAATAATTATAAATAAAAATATGTAAAATTGCAATTGATCTAATCCACTAATCCGTAAAATTATTGGAAATAAAAATACAAAAACAATCAGCTTAATAAAACGAAGAAGAAAAAAACACTTAACAATCATCTTATTCATTATATATGAAATAAATTTTCATTTACTCCCATTTTAACTTCTTCTTTCCCTAAAGTATGCAATTACCACTTTCCCTAAAGTATGCAATTACAAAAAAAAAAAATTTGAAGCTCTCTGTACTCCAAGTTCATGAATAGGACCGAAATTTGAAACTATTCCTTGAATTGACGCTGAGCTGCATAGACTAATATGTAGATGTACTAAAACTATTATAACATAATAAAGTAACATAATGTGTTAATAACTGTGCAAAATATTAAAAGTAATTTAATTAAACCCTTGAAATGTTTGAGTGAAAATATTAACTCATCTAATCTACATTTATATTTTGTTTCAATTATTAATTAGTTCACTAATCAGGAAAGATATTAGAGATAAGATTGATAGGAATTATTTCTGTACATATAAGCAGGAGTGCAGAATATTCCCTATAAACAAAGTTTATTTTAAGATCAAAATTTAAATAAAAATTTTTGGGTCTTTTTTTTTAATTTTTTTAATACAATAAAATTTTTAAAATATTTTTTAAAAATAAAGTTAATATAAGAAATTTTTTGATTTTACATAATTTTTGAATAAACGAGCATATGTGTTATAAAATAATAGAAATAAAAATGTATTGAAAGTTATAATTTATCAAATAAAATTTAAGGTCACACTTACAAACTTAAGGAAAATTTGTTATAAATGCTTGGTTTGACTATTGCAAAAGAAGAAACACTAAGTTTTAGTGATCTTTAATTTTCAAGTTTACACATTCAGTGCTTTTTTTTTGTTATATTTTCTTTAAAAAAAATTCCATTATTTATCCATGTAAAAATACCCATAGCATTCATTCAAAAATGCAACTTTTGTGCCCAATTTGTGAATAAGAATAGATTTAATAAATGCATTTGTAATAATTTAAAATAAAAATAATAGACGACAGTACCAGCAAACTGTAATTTTTTGTTATTTCTTCGACAATTACATGATACAAAAGACAACATAACTAAAAATAAACATTTAAATAGCATACCTCCATTGACAAATTTCTTAGCAAAGTATTTTAGATATACCTAAATATTTTAGATATAAAATCTAAAATTGTATTTTTAACAACTTTCTAATAATAATAAAAAAGGTTTATAAAAATTTTAATATGCTTGTATTTGCAATATGAATCACAATAAAAGTTATAACTTTAGTCATAATAGCTGTTTCCAGGGGTCTGTCTAGGTTTTTCTGAGAGGTACCTATTTTGTGAAAATTTAGACATAATTTGAGAAAAATTAAAAATTATATTTAAAAATCAACACAAAAATATAGATTTATCATTTCTTAAGGGATAAAAAACGAAATTTTAAGAAAAAAATTTTTGTGAAACTACCGTTTTTCCTAACATTGAATTTATGAAACTGCCGTATTCCTAAAGTTGAATTTGTGAAGGTACGGCTAAAAGGTAGTAAATTCGGCCTGGATAGATCCCTGGTTTTTCTATTTTGTTCTGCATAAGTGCTTTTAATGTTTCAAATTAATTTAAAATCCTTTTTTTTTTTTTCAAATTAATTTTAAAAAATAATTCCATCATTGCTTGTAGAAGAATAAGCAAAAACAAAAATATGTTTCATTCTATGTCCTTTCACTGTAAAATCAGTCACATATATTTTTATTCTAAATTAGAACATTGACAATTTCCTTCTCTTTTTGTTATATTCAAATATTAGGCTATTAAAAAAATCCTGAAACCAAAAATAAATTCGTCTTTAGATATTTATCAATAAAACGAACACAAAAGATTTAAGATAAAAAAAAGCTATTAAAATGCAAGATTAGTCACCATGGAAATGCCATTTTTACCTTTCAAGAGGGTTCAATTTTCACTTTTCAAAAGAGCGCAATTACACTGTTTGGAACACCCTTTATATTTTAAAATGAAAGGAATTGGTGTCCTTTCTCTAATTTTAAAATAATATTAGAGAAAGTTATAAAAACTATGTAAGGTTAGAGTGTAGAATTGGATGCCTTTTAGATTGTACTTTCATACAAACATCGTCCATTTCCTCATTATTTTTATATTTAAAAAAATATAAAAAATCTGGTCCTTTTCCAGTTCACCAGTGCAAGAAACTTATTTCAAAAAAAAAATTACTTAAAGTACAAATTTAAAATACTTTCACTCAGTAAGTTTCCATTGGTGACTTTATAACCACTACCAGCGAAATGGAAAAGTAACAAACACCTCACTTTGAAGTCATTTTTGTTGATTTTTGACAGAACATAAAAAATCTTCCATTGTTTTGTTCTGTTCCATTGTACACAGATTTTTAATTTTTGATGGGAAATTTTTTTTACCATATTGACTGTAGATATCTAAGTACACTAACACGGAATACTTAAACAATAAAAAATTGGCCTGATTATTAGAATAACATTGATTAAATATATATATCTTATAAAATTACGAGTATATAGAGTAAATAAGAATTTTCAGAATTTATTTAAGTATAATTTAACATTTGTCAGGATTTTTTTTATTTGTAACATTACTGGTTAAAATATAGAATCTGGTGTCCCTTAGTTTGGAGGTAAATTTCTTTTAGGATTTTGCTTGAACCACATTTCTGGTTACAATATTCTTTACTTTCATTGACTTAACTTATTACCACAAATTCTGTTTACAAAAAATGAGTTCAATTCGTACTTGTTTTTTTCCTCACATTTATTGGTTTATTTTGCATCCTCAAATATAAAAGGAACACCCGATTGTAAACTTCTACCACATTAGTAACGTAGAAAAAATATCAGTAAAACAATTAGCATAATATATTCAGTAAAACAATTAATTCAATAAAAAAAGCTTTCAAATAAGTTCATTTATTAATTTATAATTTTAAAACCTAAATATCACAAAGGTATTTGACACTTTAAATGAAAAGAATGTTGAAAGAACTAAGTCAAACAAAACACACACCTGAAGCACTATCAGAATCATTGGCCATTTTGATGCAATTTTTATATGCTAAATTTTAAAATGAAAAACCCATTTACATAATTATGAGATGAGACTTTTTAAATTTTATTTTATTTCATTTTCATATAGAATTTCAAACATCAGAGACCGCGAAATAGCCCGATCCAGAATAAACAGCGCTTAAAGTACAAAGACATGTTTGTAATATATAAACAGCTTACAGCTCTTATGTTGGTTAAGTTCGAGCTTTAATAAAAGACATTTTTGCTGCATGTAATTTACGGAACTGAAATTAATGCTGTTGTGGCTGTCCCATTTAAGTACCATTGTCACTGCATGCCCAGAGTGCGTGGTGCGATTTTGAGGATACGAATGAGAACCTCTGCTTGGTGAAGATCTCACCAACATCTCTTAGAAGAAGGCAGGCCTCAGCACGTATCAATTTAGTAGTCCGATGTAACGAAGTTAAACTGCGCAGAAGATGAAAATTAAGAAAGATGTCATTACGTTCGGCGTACTAAGCTGCGCAGTGCTGGAAAATACGAAAAATCAATTCAAAAATCAATCAATTCAAAATCTGATTAAATTCAATCGATTCGAATCAGTGATTTGAATCACTTCATAAGAATCAGTTTTCGATTCGTTTGATTGAATCAGTGATTTGTATCACTTAATTCGAATCATTGATCCAAAAGGCATATGATTCGAATCACTGATCTGAATAACTTGTCTCTAAAAGTGAGTCAAATTATATGTTTTGAATCAGTGATCTGAAACAAATGATTTAAAATACTGATTCAAATAGCATGATTTGAAACACTCCATTATCACTTGTTTTAAGTCACTGATCTGAACCACTTCATTTAAATATTGATCCAAATTGAATGATTAATCAGTAATTAGAATGACATGATTCGGATTAAAATAATATAAAATAAAATAAATAAATAAATAAAAATTATCTGAAATTTATCCGTTTTTTAGCTATTATTCGCTATTTCCCTAAGAAAAATTTTTAATTTTTATATACAGAACACTTTATTCATGTTAAAATTAAAAACATTTCTTTAAAAAAAAAATAATATAAAATAGATGGGGAAAAAAAACGTGAAAGTCGACCCCCGCAGGGTTTCGAACCCAGAGTCTCCGGGACAACAAATCTAACTTGCCCAAAGCTCTGCCAACTTCGCCACGCTTCACATGCCAGTCCCACGAATATTTAGCTTAAAACGCCTCCTCCTGATTAGTCTACAAAACATATTTTGGGTCATTGTGGGCCCACTAATTGGTCTATAAAAAATTCCTTTGGTACAATTGTTCGAAACATTAAACTCCGTGTTTGAAGTTTATAGGAGTTACGGGGTGTGATGTGTGCGTGCCTCCTGATATGAATTTTGGCCCTTTTTCAGCTATTATTCGCTCTTTAGCAAAGAAAGATAATTCTTTTTATATATCATCCATTTATTGTCAATGATATCAAAAAATAAAAATAATATAAAATAAATAGAAAAAATTTGAAAGTTGACCCTCGCAGGGCTTAACTAAGGAAAAAAATAATTCTTTTATATGAAGAACACTTTGTTCAATTTAAAATATTGATAAAGGATTTAAAAAAATAAGATAAAATAAAATAAATAAATAAATAAAAATTATCCGAAATTTATTCGTTTTTTAGCTATTATTCGCTATTTCCCTAAGAAAAAATAGTTATTTTAATATACAGAACACTTTATTCACGTTAAAATATCGAAAAATATATCAAAAGAATTAGATAAAAAGAATTCGAAAGTCCACCCTCGCAGGGTTTCGAACTCAGGGTCTCCAGGACAACAAATCAACCTTGCCCAAAGTGCTACCAACTTCGCCACGCTTTACATTCCACTTTATTGAAATAGAAGTTTAAAAAAAATAATATAAAATAAAATAGTATATAAATAAAAATTATCCGAAATGTATCCCTTTATTAGCTGTTGTTGTTAACAACAACAGCTAATAAAAGTTTATTAGCTACTATTCACTATTTTCCAAAGAAAAAATAGTTATTTTTATATACAGAACATATTATTCAAGTTAAAATATCGAAAAATATAATAAATGGCTGATTAGGCTGATTCAAAAACTTGTCATGTGGGTAGAAAACAGCCGAACGAAACCTTCTCGTGTGGGTAGAAATCAACCGTACTAAACTTTGTCAAGTGGGAAGAAAACCAACAAAACGAAACTTTGTCATGTGGGCGGGTATCAGCCGGAAAAAACATTGTCTTTTGGCCATAAATCAGGACGGCAAAAATTAGTCATAGGGGCATAAATCGGCCGAACAAAACTTTGTCATGTGAGAAGATATCAGCGTCACAAAACTTTATACGCTGATTTATTATTCTAGACAAAACGCTCTTTTCACACTTTTAAATTCGCATTCTGTCGTTTAATCTATTTTCAGCTCCAAATGATGCGTTAATTAACATTTTTGACTTCCTCCTCTTTTATGGAATAGTGAGAAAGATTTTTCCTCGACCTACTTAATAGACCAATTATAATTATTAAGTTTTTCCTTATTCCATAAAACGAAACCTTTTACGGATTTATTGAGGAACGCATCAATTTTGTGTATTTGATATTCATTCTCAATTTATGATGGGTAAATAAAATTAATTTACCCTTTTTAAAATCCTGTGCCTGTTTGTCCGACCCGCACGATTGTCACCAGCTAAATGCTTAAGGTATTTTGTAATTACCCCGCCACTTTACATATAAAATAATTTTTAATGTTCTTATCTAAATTGAAGTCAAAAAAGTAATCAGTTTGATTGACCTAATCTTGCGTTCTTCTTCAATGATTCATTTAGAATTTTTAGTAATATTTCAGACATGAATAATGATTTGAAAAAAAAAAAAGAAACATGTATATTTTATTTAATTTTTATTAAATATTTGAGGGGTTAATAACAGGCGGTGATTACGATCATCGTTTGAGTCACAAAAAGTGATCAATTTTATCTAATCTTGCGTTCTTCTTCAATGATTCATCGGGTGATATAGCAATATTTCAGAGATAAATAATGCAAATTCTTGTCATGTGAAATAAAAAACGGATATATTTTATTTAATTTTTTTTTATATTTGATATGAATTCTAAGTACTTACAACAGGCGGTGATTACGATCGTCATGTAAGTCGCATATTTAAGCCTAAAAAGTTTTATATGTCTCATATTTTAGCAGAAATATAGGAAAAAATAAATTATGATGACAAAAAATAACTTGGACACATGCAATGCAAAATTTCAAAGTTCATTTAAATCTTACAAACATTAAAAAAAAATTTCAAATAGACTTGAAAGCACCTCTACTAGTAATATGTTTAAAAATCCCATGTTCTTATGAACTTAAGATCGAAACTTAGTTTCTAAGATGGATTAACTTAGATATGGGATTAAAAAGGTAACAAAAATCTTTCTCAATGCGGAATTTAGGAAAAAAACTTCTCACAACATTACTTGACTTTAACTGTGTGTCCTGTAACACAATCCTGTTGGAAGATCAAGTTTTTGTTTAAAAGAAAACAGAATGTACTATTTATCGAAAAGACTAATTAACGCAAACCTTGAAATGAATTTTAACACTAAATAAAAGAAACAAAATTTCCTTCGTTGCCCCGTAAAAATATCCATTAAATTTGACGCTTCATTTTATAACTCTGTGAAGATTTATTACGCTGTGGAATATAAAAGTGGTAATACCTTTTCATTTTAATTTAAAGCTGAATTATGAAAAACTAAAAATTGAGGAAAAAAAAACAAAATTGTTTTATGTTTTTTTTTAGCAAATAACCGAGCCTTGAAATAAGTGCTGTATTTTAGCTATAAGGTAGAACAAGGAAATTTGGGAACAATAACTCAAGCCTTCCTAGTTATTTTATATACTTTGAACCTGACATTTTAGAGAAATTATAAATTAGTACATTATTTTTAAGCTTAATTCATGAAATGTCAATTTATTATATGCTTACTTATTCTATATGCAAATAAAAAGACACTTATTTTATTTTTTTTGTTTATTTTTTTTATTTTTTGTGATATTCAATTTACATATTTTAAACTATTGTATCATAACAATGTTCTAAATTAAATTGCACATTTCGAAAAATTGTAAGACTTTCACAGCAATTATATCTTTTATGACGTCAAATTTTATTTTGCAGATAGAAGACTTTTACAATGATATCAGCTTCTTTGAAGTCTAATTATTTTTCTGTGATGCAAAACTTTCACTTTAACTTCTGTGACGTTTTGTTATGTTTTTGTGATGATCAAATTACAGTTCTTATATTTTCAACCGAACATATTATTAAATTAAGTTGCATAGATTGGCAGATATAAGGCTTTTATATCGATGTTATCTTTCATCGTGCCTTTTTTTTTTTTTTTTTTTGAATTTTAATTTTACAAACAACAATGCACCATTAAAATTTGCAAATTTCGATGGAAATATGGTGCAAACTTCTTAGATGTTTGAAAATGGTATGTTCAAAATTTAATTTTTTTTGAACAACCTTCTAAACACTCTTGACAGGAAAGCGAAACAGCCTTTCTTTTTTATTTTGTTTCCAGCTTTTTCATCGCTTTCGCTGTCTTCTATGGTCATGTAATCCTTTTCATCACTTCCAGCTCTTAAGTAAGACTCGCAAGAGTCATATCTCCAATATCTAAAATTTAAAAAGAATATTCTCGCATTACTATTAAGCTCAAGACTGTATTTCTTGTTAAATAAAATTATCGTTTATATGCAAAATTTTGTAGAGAATAAATTGGGTTGAATTTTGGGTATAATTTCGAGCTTACTGGTTTTCTAATAATAGAATCTATTTTTTACTTGTTATTAGAATATTTCAGATAAGATGTTCTAAAAATAAAACAGTGTTTTTGTTACACAATCTTGTTTCAAAAATACTAAATTTTGTAGTTACTAATTTGAGTTTAATTTTAGTTGAATTTTACAAAGTACTAGTTTTGCATCTTGTTTTTCAAGTTTATATTTGATTAAAAAAAAGTTTGATTATTAGAAATTATATGGATTAAAAATTTTAATCTGAATTTTGATTTCTTTTAATATATGATTATGAGTCGACATTTTGTTCTTCTTTAAAATCGTACTGTCGTCCCGAATTGGAGATCGTGTTTTAAAACAGAGCTTTAAATTTTTATAATGTTTTCAAATTCGAAAGTCTTGTTTCATGCCATTTTTATGAAGCGTGATTAATGCCTTGTTTTAAGGATNAACATTATCCATTAAATTTGACGCTTCATTTTATAACTCTGTGAAGATTTATTACGCTGTGGAATATAAAACTGGTAATACCTTTTTATTTTAAAGCTGAATTATGAAAAACTAAAAATTGAGGGAAAAAAAACAAAATTGTTTTATGTTTTTTTTAGCAAATAACCGAGCACTGAAATAAGTGCTGTATTTTAGCTATAAGGTAGAACAAGGAAATTTGGGAACAATAACTCAAGCTTTCCTTGTTATTTTATATATTTTGAACTTGGCATTTTAGAGAAATTATAAATTAGTACATTATTTTTAAGCTTAATTCATGAAATGTCAATTCATTATATGCTTACTTATTCTATATGCAAATAAAAAGACACTTATTTTATTTTTTTTGTTTTTTTTTTATTTTCTGTGATATTCAATTTACATATTTTAAACTATTGTATCATAACAATGTTCTAAATTGAATTGCACATTTCGAAAAATTGTTAGACTTTCACAGCAATTATATCTTTTATGACGTCAAATTTTTTTTTTTGCAGATAGAAGACTTTCACAATGATATCAGCTTCTTTGAAGTCTAATTATTTTTCTGTGATACAAAACTTTCACTTTAACTTCTGTGACGTTTTGTTATGTTTTTGTGATGATCAAATTACAGTTCTTATATTTTCAACCGAACATATTATTAAATTAAGTTGCATAGATTGGCAGATATAAGGCTTTTATAACGATGTTATCTTTTATCGTGCCTTTTTTTTTTTTTTTTTTTTTTTTTTTTTTTTTTTTTTGAATTTTTATTTTACAAACAACAATGCACCATTATAATTTGCAAATTTCGATGGAAATATGGTGCAAACTTTTTCTTAGATGTCCGAAAATGGTATGTTCAAAATTTATTTTTTTTTGAACAACCTGCTAAACACTCTTGACAGGAAAGCGAAACAGCCTTTCTTTTTTATTTTGTTTCCAGCTTTTTCAAAGAATATTCTCGCATTACTATGAAGAAGACTGTATTTCTTGTTAAAAAAAATTATCGTTTATATGCAAAATTTTATAGAGAATAAATTGTGTTGAATTTTGGGTATAATTTCGAGCTTACTGGTTTTCTAATAATAGAATCTATTTTTTACTTGTTATTAGAATACTATTTTTTATAGATAGTAAATTTTGTTTAAATTCAGCTCTCCCAGATGTTTCGCAACAAGACAATGTTTTTGTTTCATGAGCTTGTTGTAAAAGTACAAAAAATGGTGGAAAGTCTTAAATTTCTGATAAAATGTTCTAAAAATAAAACAGTGTTTTTGTTACACAATCTTGTTTCAAAAATACTAAATTTTGTAGTTACTAATCTGAGTTTAATTTTAGTTGAAATTTACAAAGTACTAGTTTTGCATCTTGTTTTTCAAGTTTATATTCGATTAAAAAAAAGTTTGATTATTAGAAATTATATGGATTAAAAATTTTAATCTGAATTTTGATTTCTTTTAATATATGATTATGAGTCGACATTTTGTTCTTCTTTAAAATCGTACTGTCGTCCCGAATTGGAGATCGTGTTTTAAAACAGAGCTTTAAATTTTTATAATGTTTTCAAATTCGAAAGTCTTGTTTCATGCCATTTTTATGAAGCGTGATTAATGCCTTGCTTTAAGGATGTGTACGATAATTCTTACAATTAGAGTTTAAAGGGAAATTTGCAAAAAAAAAAAGGTTTTTTAATAAAATATCAGCGCACAGTATATCTGTGCATCAATATTCAAATATTGTTCTTACTTTTAAGGTTTCATTTGATTGCAAATGTATTTTTTTTAGTTGGAAGACAAGAAAATTTACGATGCAGAAAAGAAATAAATATTACGAAAAAAACTACAACATCTCGCCTTTACAGAAAAAAAAATTTATTACTTAGCTGTGAATTTTTTTTGTAATAAAAAATACAATGTACAATTTTTCTGTCTCGTGTTCTTAAAATTATCTTAATTATCAAGTTTATTGCCCATGCATAAAACAAACTAATGTCTCAAGAACATATACTTTTTCGAGCCATTTGCAGACGTTAAAATTTTAAGTTTTATCAAGATATGAAAACAGATATTATGCGAATATGAAATATTACTATATGTAAAAGGAAATGGAAATTTCACATAGAAAAAATTGAAGCAATACATATGTTTTATGACTGAGTCTCTAATTTTTAAAAAAATCTTGAAACAGTTTAAATACCTCCTATCCGGAATGCCATACTCGATAGAATCCTTGTCATGGACTTTATCCATGCTGTACAGTTTTGCAATCATTTCCTCAGTAAAATAACTGGAATACACCTTTTCATCTCTATCACTAAAAAGAAAATGAATAATGAAATTTAACACAGTGCTTTTGCTACATGAATTTGCTATTGAAAATGATGTGTTTTGTAATTGTTTTTAGTTTTTGAAACACAACCAATTGTTTCATAACTTTATTCATGTTTAGTGGTAAATTAGATCTTTCTGATTTAATGTGTTTTGGTTCTATACCATATAAGGATACGTTCCTAAGTTTTGCAGATTTATTTTTATTTAATTTATTTAAGATAATTATTTTAATCTTTAAATAAATTTTTTCAAATGATAGGAATAGTATTCAAGATATGTAAAAATCAAGTTAATAATGTAAATAATTTAAAAATTACCACGTAATTAAAGAATATACAAATTAATATACCTTTTAATTTCATCCAACACATCTTCATCATTCATATTATCATTTCCATCAAATTTATAATCCATCTCATTTTTTAACTCCAATATCATTCTCTCTCTAAAAAAGAAAAGAAAAAACAATACTCATCGAGTTTTTTTAAGCGCTAGCTATAAATCAAGTTATGGAATCTGACGCATAAATGTGGTTTCTCTTAATAAAAATGAACATTCGTTTCATTCAATACATCTGGATTTTTGATTTTCAAAAAAGTAAGAACAAGTAACGAAAAATAAGTTTCGCATGGTTTAGTCAGAAGAGCTGTCTGAAATCTCGACACTTTTGTTGAGTTTTACATTTTGTTAATTTCACTTTTTAAATTAATTCGGGAAACATTATTAAAAATAATAACTTTTTAATATACCTTTCATCAAACTCATCGTCGTCTTCCTCAGACATAACCTCTGCCTTTATTTCAATCATATCCTCATCACTTTCAATGCTAATAATATAAAAGAAAAAAATTCTTTTAATTCGAAAGTTAAAAATAGATTTTTTAAAGANCATGGTTTAGTCAGGAGAGCTGTCTGAAATTTCGACACTTTTGTTGAGTTTTACATTTTGTTAATTTCACTTTTTAAATTAATTCGGGAAACATTATTAAAAATAATAACTTTTTAATATACCTTTCATCAAACTCATCGTCGTCTTCCTCAGACATAACTTCTGCCTCTATTTCAATCATATCCTCATCACTTTCAATGCTAATAATATAAAAGAAAAAAATTCTTTTAATTCGAAAGTTAAAAATAGATTTTTTAAAGAAAAAAAATATTTTTTTAATCTAATATTTATGTTGCATATAAGTTTAGTTGAACATTTTCAATCATAGACTTCGTAACAGCAGTTTATAACTTCATTTAAGCAACAAAAAATTTGCTTGCTAAGAATTATGATGTTTTCAAATTATGTTTGAAACAATGAATTCATTTTTAACGAAACGATAACGGGTATCGGTAATTTCCGTGTTCTTTCTGGTAACAGAGCTTTCAGTAAAATTAAAGCAACATTTATTTTGCGCATTATATATGCAAAATGTATCTAAAAGTTATACTTATGCAAAGAGCATATTTTAAACAATTAAATAGTTGTCCTAAAATATCTGTCAAAAAATAATTTTTTACAGTTATTGTGTTTTTATAAAATTAAGATTTTTCCGTTAATTTGAAAATGAACCAAAAATTTCAACTGGGTCTATTTAAAAGAGGGTTATAGTTTGATATTTTTGACTCAAATTTTTAAGCAGACATGTTGCAAAAAAAAAATGTTTTTTTTTTGTGAGTACGTGGTCACCATAATAAATTATAGGTAACCATTATTCAATAAGATATTATTGAATTATAGTTCCAACTTTTCGTGAATCCGTTCGTTGCTGGATCACGCGATATTGAGAAATTCTTCCCTACAGTTAGTCTCAATGAAGCACATAGCAAGATGCATATTAACATGCAATTACTTTGATAGAAAATGTGGTGTTTTCTCATAAAAATGGCTCATTGCTTATTAAAATGATCTTATTGTAAAATTTTTGAACTAAAAGGGTTGCCAAAACAAGTAAATTAAAATTTGATTTTATCTTTATAGATTATACCTCTTCAATTTCAAAGTACAACCATCTGCGTTTGGTTGGAAATGATCGTGATAAAACAAAAAATTCTTAATTTTTTTTTCCATATTGCTAAGAGGCCTATCTTTAGATAGCTTTGGTCCCTAGCTCGAAATGCTTGCTTTCCCATCTCAGCTTCTCGTTCTGTGAATTTTTCATAAAATGATAAGCAAATATACAAAACTCATTTCAGTTGCCCTTAAACAAACTATTTTTTTAATAACAAGCTCAGTTCATTTCTTTTGCATATTTCCCTCAGAATAAGGTTTCATAGAATAAGGTTTTACATTAAGTCTGTTATATAGGTATTTTGCATTTTAGATTCGTTACGAATTCACCCATTTCGGAAATAACGAGAAAAAAAACTATAATAAAAATTTTAATCTGATATTTTAGAGAATCACTACTTACTCATCATCGACATCAATCTCTTCCACTTCGCTTTCCTCATCATAAGCTGAAATATTGGTTGAAATAAAAATGGAATAAGTGTTATTTAAAAATAAATTAAAATTACTTTCATTATAGCAAATTCAACAGGCATAATTTTTTAAGTTACTCACAAGTTGGTTAAAAAAGGTTTCTATATAAACGAATCTTACAACGCTTATTTTCGTGCTATCCAGTCATATCTTTGCAAAAGACCTTATTCTGTTATAAAATCTTTTAGTTTTCTTTCCAAAAACAAAAAAATAGTATTTGTATCTTTGCAAAAATGTCAACAGAAGTTAATATTAAAAGAACATTATGGTTGACAAGACGTAACCAACATATTTTGGGAAAAGTGATACTTCTAACTAATTCAAGATAGTTCAAAATTATTTTTTAAAAAATGAAAAGAAGTATACTATTTATAGGCGGCTGATTATTGGAGTTCTATGGATCCTTTTTTTAATTATCACGAATGACTTAGTAGACGGCATTTAAAACAACAGTACTACGTAATAAACAAAGTTTGAAACTTATTTTTTGTTAGTAAGAACAATTTGAGAAGTTCACTTAAGTAATTAGTTAAGTTCAGTTAAGTAATTTAAAATCAAAGCATAGCTTGAAACATTTAATTCTAAATAATTTATTGAATAGTCAGTATACTTGGTTTGGTTTTTAAATTTGTAGTTCAATACTTTCGTTCTAGGATCGGTTCTTCAAGATGTTTATAAATTTTGCATTATAGTGAATAACTTAATGTTAAACACGACTATTGTGATTTTATTACGTCCATTATAGAGACTCAAGCTGCGCTTCTTTCTGTCGCTCCTAAATTCACGGCAAAATAATGAGAAAGATTTTTTAAAATGCAAAGTTTCCGAAAGACTGCATTTTTTTCCCATTCAATTTGATTTTCCAATAATTCTTGCCACACCACTGTCAAAAATTCACTTTGTACCCTTCCGAAAGGCCTGGTTTCTTAGGACAAGACGCCGTCAGCTGGAAATCAGCGCTAACCTCTGATTGGTCCATTTGTGAGTTTGATAGTATACGTCACTGAACGCTCAGCTTGAACTACAATTGCCGTCCAACTCAACTGCAGTCGGATTACAACGTGACGTTAACCACAGAAACAATGGCGGACAACATCCAACGGCACATTGAAATCAGCCAAGATTTTGATTTTGCATTAAACATGGCTTCTTCATTAAACACAGCACTCTTCACTTAGCTCAGCTATAATGTGGTTTTTCTTGGACAAAGTCCTTACTTGTTCTTTGAAACACTGGTCGACAATAACAAAATCAATACAAATTCAAAATAAATATTTGTTTACGTTATTAACGCATGCGCAATGAGAGATAATGTCTGCGTTGGGCCGACTGCTCACGCTGAGCTAACAAAATAGTATTTTTTTTGGCGTCAGCTCTACGTCAACTTTCAGCTGACGCCCAGATAAGGCGCTAGTTCTAAGAAACCAGGCCTGAAGATAGATCATTCTCTGGTTGAGTAAGAAACATTTTTAGGATGCTCTATTTGAAAGTAACACTTGGTTGTAATTAAAACTTATTTCAAACGTTGTTAGTGCTGATTCTATGGATTGTGACAAATGGATCTTAAGAATTTTGTCGAAGTTTGTTGAGATGGTTTCATTACAAGCATCATTATTCTTTTTTTTTTCTTTTCAATTAGTAACATTTCTCTGTTAAAAACCCAAAGTGCCAGTTTTTGTCACGGTTGCCGCACTTTTGCTGTCACATAATAGACTACGAAACAGTTTCAGTAGGTTCTTCGTTTCATTTGGTTACGAGTGAAATTTATTTCAAACCTTGTTTAAACTGAATACAAAATAATTTGTAAGGAAATCTTGTTCTGTTGTACAAATATTTAAAGCAACTTTGTGTATCTCACCTAAAGTAGTGATTGACCCAACAGAGTCGTTTCTCAAAGACTATTTATTTTTACAAAGGGGTAACATGTTACTAAAGAAAATAATATTTTAGATTTAATTACAAATTATATTAATTTGCTGATTACGTCAGCATTGTATAAAAGGCAAAATTTTTCTAAAGAATAAAATGTTCCGTATAATGTTAGTGTCTTTAACTGTCATAATAAATCAATGGTTTGGCGAATTCAATTCTATCTCTCATACTACAGCAAGATTTTAAATTTTGGGATAAAACTCGATTTCAATAATGTCTTGTTTTATCTAATAGTTTATTTCGGTGGGATTTTCTATTCCTTTCCAGTTTATAAATTGAGTAACATCACCGATTTGGTAAAGATGTACTAAAGCAGTAGTGCCAATAAACTTATCAAAATAATAACTGCCAATAAATTGTCAAAATTTTATCATCATTTGTATTTGTTTGCAGACAGTTTTTTATTTGTTAAACTTATAATTTATTTAAATAAGGTGAAGAAATGCAGTATGATATAAAATATTATTTTAAACCTTCGTAAAATTAAAAAAGTATAAAAAATTTTGAAATGTTTATAATAAATTTTATGAAAATACGAAATCGATATTTTGTTTATGTTTTCGCATGTCTCTAAAAACATTTTATTACTTGATTAAATACTGTAGTGGACCTGAGAAATTTCATTGGACTATCCTTTAAGTTCAAAGCTGTATCAAAATGAATATTGAAGGTCTCTTAAAATCTATAAGAAAATTATAATTTTCAAAATCAAGACTTTTTCTCTTTTATTTATTAGAAATTCCAGAGAAATATTTATGCTGTATACAAGTTTTAGATAGTCCTTAACTGTTCTAGCCAGGTATCCACATATATTTAACATTACAAAAATATGAAAAATATGATTTTTATACATACGATTAGGTCTGGGATATTTCTCCCGTTCCTTCTCCCAATTATTCAAGAGAGCAAATATATAATATTCACTCATAATTTCAATAAGCGCCTTTCTGAATTCTTACTCAAAAAGTAAGTAGTTCACTTGAGAAATCTCAAACAAGAATGAGAAATTAACTTTTTTAATACCTTTGTTGATGGATTTAAAAGATGTCAACAATGTTTTAAAATATAACTCATTGTTCAAACAATGGAATAAATTTAGTTTTTCATGCATTTCTGAAATTGTTTATCAAACTTATGTACTGTTGCAAATATTTTTAGATTATGTTAAATTGTATAGTACAGAGAACAATAATACTTCGTTGAAATATTTCAAGATGTAATTAAGTTATTTTATTTTTTTTATGCAATATCTTTCATTTTAAATACGGCAGTGAGAGATTTGGAAGCAAAGATCGTAAATTGTATCATAATAACCAAAAAGGAGATTTCATCAAAACTCAGCGAAAATTATCACCACACCATGGGGGGGGGGCTATTTTACACCACTAGAGCCAATAATATTAAACTTCTTACGATTAAGGGCATAATTCTTAAAATGCTGTTTCAAAAAACAGCAAGAGTTTTTAAAAAACATTGTGTTATAGTTTTGTTTTGTCAGTGGGGAACGATCTTGAAAACAAAGTTTGAAACTGGGCAAGTATAAAAGTTCTAATTTTCTTCGTAAAACTTTACAAATGTTTTCTTTTAATTGCTTTTTTAAATCATTAGTATCTTAGAGACACACTGTAAATGTGAATGAGTTTGGAAGCAATATAAATAAATAAAAAATATTAAATTTAGTTAATATCAATTACTTCTTTTTTAAATGAATTGACATAACATATTTTAATTTTATACTTAGACGGAAGTTTGATTAGTTCCTCTCAAAAAATATTTTACATAATAATTAATATAAATAGCCAATCAGAAAATTTTGCAATATGTTTGTGTAGTAACCAGTAGTTTAATATGCAAGTCCTCTAATGCCTGTGTATAATGATGGTTTCATGAAATGATAGAAGGCAAAGATATAGGCCTGATTGAACAAAATGTTAGTTTAATCCTTTAATACATTTTCAACTTGTCGTGTCGGGGATGCCACATAAACTACTTTAGTTTTTTAAGCTATTATTGAGCTTTCTATTTGGTCTTAATTTTTATTCTTTATTTAGCTACCTTTAAAAATATTCCTAATCTTCTCCTTGGAAATATCATAATTGCCGAATTCCAGAATGTTTATACTTAACAAATATTTAATTGCTATCACTGGAGTTTTAACTTTTCAAATCAACTTACAAAAGTTTCATTTCAATGTTTTTGTTAAACTTATGCATCATGCAAAAATTTATTTCAAATACACTTAGGCTAGTGATAGCTAATCGGTTTAGTCAATAAACGTTAGTCTCTTAAGTGCTTCGTGTTTTAACACTTAACTAGAATGCAAATTTTTCATCTCGCTATTGTTACTAAAAGTGCGTATTTACTGAAGCAACTTCCTTTTTTAGAACGTGTGAGTATAATGGCATTATAAAACTTCATTGTTTTAATGTAAAAAGCTTAACCAAACCTTAAAAGTGTATCCCACAGTTCATTAAGAGCTAATTGAGGAAATTTGTCTTCCGTTGAGATCTCAAATTAAAACAATCAAAAAAATTAGACAGAAATCAAAGAAATTGAAGCATAATATGATGGCTGAAGTATTAAACTAATTCGTCACACGAAATATGACTACTCGACTTGAATACTTGACAAATCAGCATTTGGTTGATGTTTAAAATTTAGCTACAAAGGATCTCTGCACACGACTAATCACGTAAATAAAGGATCTCTGCAAATTTTGTCAAAATGACAAAATTCTTTTAAAATATTACATATTAGATAATATTGAAAAAATTGTTGGGAGTACTTTTTCTATTTTTTATTATAGAAACGAATAACATTAAAAAAACAGTAAAAAACCTACATTTTTAGGAAAAAATCATCATTCCTCTATAAAATATCATGTATAAAAAAAATTCTATTCTCTTAATTCAAAAAAAATTTCCAACAAAATGTTAATAATATTCATAAATATATAGCATTAAATTCTCAGGACAATAGAATGAAAATTCATTACGCTGGAACAGTTTGAAAATTGTAAATTTCTCAAAAAAGACATTTTGTGAAAAATGACTTTTAGTACTTTTTCATTGCAAATTTTACTTCCGAACAAATATTTCGTGTTTTTAATATAAATACCTATAAATATT